GGTCGCGCGCGGATCTTCGATTTTTATTTCGGCGCCATTCTGACGTCTCCTCTCATGCTACATCAGCGAGTATCCCGACGGGGTGTCCTAAAGTTCGCGAGTTTTAATAACAGACGGACGAAATTAAGAGTAGTAGTTGAAACATTAATCGGTCTTCACACCTCTGATATCAAAACAGATATTGAGAAAAAGACTGCAGGTCTAATAATTCATTAAGGAAGGAATGTATAGGTATTTTCGTTCACTTGTCACATCCATGCACTCTGTGATAAAATGACGAATCAAATGCAACATTATTTGAGATAGGATCACACAAAAATAAAATGATAAGTTAAATAATATTTATGATATATGCAAATATAATCTTGTAGATTTCTCTGCGTTCGACATCTGATTGCATCTTTTTGCAGAATAATTAGACGATAAAAACGTGGAAAAAATCACTGCCTTCAACTCATCATCGAGATTATTGTTCCGTAACGTTCTCTCGTACGTGTGTATGAATTTACACGATCATCGCGTGGAACGATAACACAATTAACATGATTGATTCGCCGGCGTTCAAGAGTGCGAGCAAAGTTGTGAATATGTGCGCGAGAACGATGTCGTAAAAGAGATTGTTAATATACCTGCACAATACTCATTCTTCTTTACGCGCGCGCACGTGATTATTATCCCGCTTTTTCATCGTCGTAGCGCGCGAACTATCATTTAGCGCAATATAATCGATTAATATTATTATTATCGTACCGTTTTATATATAAACGCGGCGGTCGGGACGAGATATCAGGTACGTTCTGTTAAAAGTTATTAAATGCAATAACGTGGCATGCCACTTTCAGAAGCACAGGTGTCGGTTTCTCTCGTCAATTATGTATGGCCGATGTGAAAATTCGCCATTTTCGCAATTCGATATAGCTCTCGGTTAAACTGGATCATAAATCAACGTCGAGCAAGTCGAACGAAAAGGAACTGTGTGACAAAGAATTGTTATAAATCTGTTGAGAATTCGGAAAGTCTAGAAATCGCAACCACAGAACCAAATCTTTTATTTTTCACAATGAATAATAATCATGAAGAATCGCGCACAAAAGCGAAATAAAAATAACGATGTAGTATATCTGTAGAAATATTTCTTGTTGATCTATAATAATTAATTTTATTTCCTGAATCAAATGCAACATTATTCGAGATAAAATCACACAATTAAAAACAAAATAATGAGATATGCAAATACAATCTTGTAGATTTCTCCATATCGACGTCTTATTGCACTTTTTTGTAGAAGAATTAAACGAAAAAACTTGCAAATACGTAATTATGGCCACCGCATTTTAAACGAGGGACGATGTACCCTCTTCCCGAATTTAAATGTCGCAGTCATTTGAATGTCCGCAAATTGCAGCCGAGCTTAATGTAGCTGGTCGCTACATTAAGAACACGCGGGCTCGCGGATGAATTAGGAAAATTGCGGTAATTGATATTGCAGAATTCGATAAGTACCGCCGAGCAAGAAGGTAGACATCTCTCTCTCTCTCTCTCTCTCTCGGTAGAACGAGAGAAAATAATATATCAGAAGCGCGCGGCTACCGGGATCCGGATCTCGACTGCGACGCCTCAGGGAGTATCGGGAATGATTTGGGGTACGAGAGATGAGTAGGTGCGCATCATTGTGCAACGAAGGTATCATCAGCCGGCAGATAAGCTAGTGTGTACGAGCGACCTTCGTTATGCAGGTGCACCCATGCACTCATCCCACACGATGCAGACTCACGAAGAAGATAAGAGAGTGAAATTTTATAATCGCAGATATGGGAATATACCATACTTATGTATCTTGTAAAGTAATCTGGGGACTTTAATTTCAAAGTGCGAATGATTTCAAACTCCTTTTATAGTTTAGCGATATTGTAAAAATTTTAGTATAAAAATGTGAATGAAAATTCATGTTTCAAGATATGTGCTTTTTTCTTCTTAAATATTATACTTTAACACACTATGACAAATGTCCGAATTTTTTATATGCGTAACATGAGGATTAAAACATTTTTTCAGGTATAGTAAAATATCCAAATACTAATTAATACAAAATTATTTTCGCATCAGGCATGGCAAGATATCCTGAAATATATTTAACGTCGAGATTCGTACAGCAACTTTATTTCCAAATTTCTTACAACGTTTATCGACGAAAAACACAAATTTTACCAAAGAGAAAGTCGTTCTCGTCCGAAAGTAAATATGTTAGGAAGGAAACGCGCGAGACTTTTGATTAATAAATCCAAGAACGATAAGACAGGGATGGATGTAAACTGCGGTGGAAATTACCACCGAAAGAAATTACAGCATCGAAGGGCACGGGAGCCCTTAAAAAGGAAGAAACTTACGGGTGTCAGAGACGAAAGGGAGAAAGAGCGGGGGCGAAGAGGAGAGGCTTATATACGCTGATAAACACGTGTAGCTTTTAGCGAGGCATCCTAAAGATTGTATCTGCCATAAAATATGCCCCCAGGAGACAATATTAACTGCTTCGTGCTTCTGCAGCTATCTGTGCCTCTTTCGCGCTCTCTCGTCCCTTTCTCATTCTCTCTGTTCCTGCCAGCGGTCCTGTCCGGCCGAAAAGGATCCACTCTAATGAACTGCGCACACTCTCGCGCAATATCCTACCAAATGCTTTTCGGTCGGCCATTCTCCCGCCGACTGAGAGTTATCGCCCGTCCGAATCCTACGCGGCGCGACTCGCCGGTAATTAAGCGCGTTTAATTATTATTATTTCTTGCACGCGGGTGGCGAACCCGCGTCCGCTTTACGGCTCGCGCATGCCTTTGACCTTCCTTGCTTTGACCTGAGGACGAACGAACGTGGGTAGTCCAGAGGGATGCGCGTCGCTGCCGGACATCATCGCGCGGATGTTTCAAAATATTCGAAAGTCTGTTATTTTTCGATCGCAGAAAAAAAATTGTTATATCTTAATAATACCTATATAAATTATTTGCAAATTACTCATCGTTATATATCGATGTGAGAGCAATTTTGATGCGCGTTCCCCCAACGCGACGTTTATTTATGCTAATTAATGTATAGATATTATCTATGCATATATAAGAATATTGAGACGAGTTAAAGATAATCATTTGGAGTTTCCCTATATCGCCATCGTTGACACCGTATGCCTTTGAGGCATGAGATGCGTGATAATCCGAGAAAAGGGAGAAAGAGGGAGAGAGAAAGACCACAAAACGAGGCAGCATCTAGAGAGCGTATCTCGAGATAAGGATACTGCCATCGAAATAAGAAGTTAACACGACAGCGGTGTACCGATGTTCTGCCGATTCTCACTGGCGATTACGCGCCAAAGTATAAGAACCTTATCGATTTAGCGACGTTCACTTCTTAACAAAGTTGTTACTGAAAGAGGATTTCGCTTTCGACATCATTCTCTTTTACGGGACAGATAATTAATGCGAGAGATGTTAAACAAGATAAAGCCCTATTTAAGTGCACAAGTTTCTGCATATGTCGAATTACGTATTAAAATAAAATTTCTTCCGTTATGGCAGAAGAAAATGTCTCATTTTATTAAGAAATTGTGAAAGGAATTTAATTAGCTTTTAATTAACATTCCGTATACCATTTGGCACAAATTATTTAAATTATTCTCATTATTTTCAGCAAAACCGTCCTATTTTTCTTGGTTTCTTTTCACTCTTTTCTCCATTTCACTCTAATTGATATATTCTCGATATCGGTCCGCTGGTATTTTTACAAACATTAAATAACGTCTCAAAGAAACTCCAATTATAAATAATTAAATAAACAAATAAGTAATAACTTTGATCGAAATCTCTCGAATATATAAGCGACGAAAACAAGCGTCACGTTGTGCGAAGATAAGCAGTGTTGCATTAATAAGAGCATATCAACCGCTCATCTATGGAATCTTCGGTACGTACCAATGAGATACGGACTCGTCCCGCCTTACTAATGTCATTACACGGCGCCGCCATAAGTTCCTTCGCTGTTTCGTTCTCGGAGAAGACCAGAATGCTGATTATGCCTCCTGATATCGGGCCCGGTAGCGCGGCGCCGTAAGGATATTCTCCTGGCCTCCCAAAAAATATTGTCCTTTACGTGAGCCGGCGGCATCTCGGATGAGAAATAATCGCGGCGCAAGTCGCCAAAAAACCTTCAAAAAAAACCCGGATCAAGACCCTAACGGCCCTTAACCGTTACGACGCGATTTTTTGCGCCTCGGAAACGGCTCGATTCGCGCGTTTTATCGCCGATTGCCGACTTCCTCGCTTCGAAAGGCTCGAAATCATCAAGACAGAATAAGAGGAGTGGAGCAATTAGCTGATATATACGAATAAATGATGAACGAAAAATTATATCAAAATTAATAGACACTCGTCGTAAAATATTTCTTGTGCGATGAGGAATTTTTACACAGAATGTGCACTCTTAATTTTTGTATATAAGCGGTTGGATAAATTGAAATTTAATCGTGTTTTTTATTTTATTTTATTTTTTTCTAACTTTGGAAATTAATGTCTGAAAAATAAACTTATATAAACGATTTTTAATAGTAAGTCTCATGTTGCCGCAAATTGCACGAAGTAAGCAATTTCTGAACTAAAGGAGGCTAAAGAGGAAATCTTTCAATGTGTTGTATGAAGGTACGAGTTAAGGTTCTTCGTTTTTTACAACGTCTCGATTCATCCTCGAGTAGCAGGTGGAGGCGTATACTAAGTTCACGCGCATGCAACACATTTAAAATGCATGCGGCATGAAAAAGAAAGGAAGATAAGAGTGAAAATAAGAGAAGAAGAAGAAGAGGATGTAGAAGAAAGAAGAAGAAGCGAAGAGGGAAAATGAAAGAAGGAAACCAGAAGAGAAGAGGAAGAAAGAGGGTAAAGAAAAGTGCGAGATACAAAAGAAAGGAAATAGCGAAGGAAAGAGAGATAGAGAATTTATACTTATTATATTTATGCATACAGATACAAAAGATATTGCAAAATAATACTCTTTCGATTAGGATGATTAAACGAATTGACGTGAATCTGTCTTTCTTTCATAAGTTTATAGTTGAGATAATTTTTACTAGAAAAGAACAATCAACTTTTTCGGTCTCTCCGTAAATCCAACAACAAACATTTCAATAGATTAAAATTTTTAATTTTAAAGACAACTCTCTCTTCTATGCACAGAATAGGCGCAACATTTTGTGTTAAAAATCATTGAAGGTGATTCTGAGCTACGTTATTTAAGGTGCAGCTTCCGCACCACCAACGCGACCGCGTCGTTTTATGTAGAAATAATTTAAAGAAAATAACTATTTCAAGAAAACAGTAAAGTGCCAATAAATATAATATTTCAGTTATGATTTTTTGTTGCTAAGAACTTTCATCAAACATTAATCAAGCAAGAGTGATCACTCTCTCTCTCTGTTTGCGAGGAATCTCTTCAAACAGTGACTTCTTGTCTGTCGAAGCATTTGACTGATGCTTCGACAAATTGTTGAAGAGAAGATCGCGAATTTCAAAGGTGCAAAGACAGATCTCTCATCATTTATCAATGCATAATACTTGCGGCAGTAATATTAAATAAAAAATATACAAATAAGTTTAACATAAATCAGATATTTTTCAAAATAAGTTTTCGATGCATTAAAAATTTGCTTCAAGATAATAAGAAAAACATGACAATATTTTCACGTCACGGTCTCTTTCGAATCGATAAAAGTCGTGGCTTAAAGCTGCTTTCGTCGTAGACGAAAAGAAACATCGTAGGCGTCATTAACAGCTTCACAGCTTAAAGTATATAACCAACCAACACCTACCTTTTCTACTGCCCACTCGCTCTTCATCTATGCTACATTGTGCAACTACGAGGAAACAGTAGTATCATAAATATTTTCAGTAGTTTAAAACGAGTTGTGTGACGAATCATACACACGATGACATTTCAAATTTTCGAATAGATCATAAATATCGCAGACGCTATAAGCCATGAAAAATAAGCGGGCTTTAACGAGTTGCTGATTATAATGTTGCTTACCAATTTTTCATGCAATAATTGTGTTGTTGTTCGCATATATATGCGAAATGGATGTTGTTTTATCTTTACTCGAATTCAATCGATATTCTTATCCGTCGTTCCATCGACTTGTATAAGAGTTACGTGTAGGCAAGGAGGCGAGGCAGCTGCCCTCGGAGATGCGACGTGGCTCCTGTAGGTGCAACCAACCAGCAACTCTCATTCGGATCCTGGAAAACAAGAAGAAATAGGGAATCGGGGCTGTACAGGGCGATTAAAGTCGACGGCGCGCGTGGCAGAAAACATAGTGCGAATGAAAGCGTGTATGATTGCGGAAGTCAAAAAAAAATCTTCGTAAATCATCGAGAGTATAATCTTCAGTGCAATCTTCATAATCTTAATAGTTCCGTACAATCTTAATAATGTTTAGCGGAACTTTCAAAGTGGCGTGTATAATAAATAATAAGCGTACCGGCATTTTTTCATAGCTCATAATTTAAAAATAATTAGAAAGCTCAGTTATGTGTGTCTGTATTATTATAGATTAACATGAAAGAGTTTAAAGAGGTGCATCATCGCGGAATATAGCGTATAAAATACGTGAGTAATAAATTTTAAAAACAGTTCTTGTAAGATGATCTCGGTATACGATAAAATAGACTTGCAAAAGTCTTCTCTATATCATAATTTAATCTTTTTTTTTTTTAATGACTTGTCTTTTTCTGTACAAACGAGTTCATAAGTGACTCCTTTAATTTCTTATAATTTTGCGATTTACAAGAATCTCTTCCGCTCACGCGAGCTGTCACGTTCACGCAGATTTACAGGATCTTGACAGGTGTGCCGTGTGAAAATTACGATGATTGGGTGCAATTATCCTTGGCTCGTCAAGTGCTTAGAATACTTTGTAGCAAAATATGACACACATTCGATCACAAAATGTTCCAAACGCATCTTCGCTATTCTTCGTCCAATTATTATCAATTTATAATCGAGAAGCAATTTAACTCTACAATTGCTTCTAATTATATGCTATTCTTTACATGAATGTAAACGTATGTTCACTATGTATAATTGTCATACACGACTTGATTACCACCCCTATGATTCTACATCTTCGAGCGTACTAAAACTCGAAGCTACTAATTTTCGCGGGTGTATCGATCGATCTACGAGACCTTAGAAAGAATTCTCTCGCATGAGAACCACGATGATTGGACCCAATTACAGGTGGTGCGGGCGTGTTCGGGATATTTCTGTGTCCCCGTCCAACCTCGCGCGCTTCACTCGTTTCTTTCCTCTCTTTTCTCCCTCCTGCCCTTTTCTGTCGACGAGAGTCCGCACAAGGTCCGCCTATGTTGTGTACAAGCCTGCGTGTTTCTTGGCAGATGTATACACGCATTTTCCTCCTTCTTTCCTCTCCATGCGTCCCACATTCTCTTTCTCTGTTCTTCTCCACCTTCGCTCCTGCGCCCAAAGAAAATTAAACCCCACCTTAACTCGCTGATTATCGTTGTCACACACGACCCATCGTGTTATGCGGCGAGAGCTCATGGAGTAAAAACTCCGCCCGAAGAGGGAAGGAATGCGAAAAAAATGAAGATAGTGGAGGAAGCAAGGCAGGTTCGCAAAGTGGAGAATAACATCAAGAATAACGAAAGAATTGCTTCCCGTGCGTGCGCAATGAATTTCAATTTCGCGCTCGACATCGGCAAAGCCAATGTTGTAATGTAAGTCAATGCATTTTGTATTACACGTGCAGGCAAAGTGGCACTTTGTGTGCGTGTTTTCTGTGCGAAAAGTGGCCGATTTCCCACGCCGCCATTTAGCGGCGACGCGGTGAGTGAATAAGTCGCGTTCAAAGTCATTGCCCACGGCTTCAGTCGTGGACAATGACTTTGAACGCGGCTATTCCCGCACCGTGCCGTCGCAAGATGGCGGTGTGCGATCGGCCACCTCGCGCACAGAAAACGCGCACAAAGCCACTTGGCCTGCACTTGTAATACAAAATATCGTGTGTATCAAGTGCGGATTGACAATTGTTCACTCGCCTTCGGCTCGTGCGTTCATCCCCCGCACTCGTGACCAATTGTCAACTTTCCGCACTTGATACACAATATACTATTGTACGAGACTCTATATGCGTTTCCGGTGCTATCGATACTATTTCAGCCTGCGATGGCTATCCCGTATAATAACGTAAAAAGAAATATTTAATATAGACATTGAATAGAAATGATTAAATTATTAGAAACACGCGTGTGCAATTTCTTACATTTACGTCTGCAGTATCTTGTCAAGTTTATCTTATCGGTGTTTCCTGTCAGAAAGAACAGAGCGGAAAATTATAATTGAAAGATTACATCTTTAATAAAAACATTTATATTAGATCTGTACAAAAAATATCCAGATGAAATCTCATTATTCACACATTATTCTGAGAATCATGTCACCGATTAAAATATTATACAAAATGCTGCACAAATGTTACGTTAAGTTACACATTCGAGTCTACTTGCGGAAGTGTGTACGCAGGAAATTAAATCGTGAATTGCGCGCGAAATTATCCCGGTAGCCCGCAAATTAGATATTGAACCGCATTCAGCTTGAATATATATTTGAGGCCGTGGTGTGTGTAAATTGCACGATTATATCGTTTCGTACGTAAGCGCCTTTTCTTGTTTCGGTATGTGTCCGTTATCCGAGCGTGTTTCGCGCGTAGACAGCGTCTGGCGGTAAATGCGCCAATTACCGCCGGATAAGTCGACACACACGCGTTGAATTGAAATTCAACTTTATAGAAAGGAAGACAAATTGCACGGTCTCAGTCGGCGAGGTCACATCTCTCGGTCGAGCTCGGCTTCCACTCGGTCGCTTTGAAGGTTCCGTTTTGCCGCGTTCGCCCACAGCTAACAAGATGTGACAGGATAATTTAATATCGGGATAAAAAAATACAATTTAGAGAAACGACATGACAAAATATATCTATGTTCACGTTTCGACATTAAAATCGAAATCGAAGCATTCTTTAATTTTGAATATAAGTTGAGATCCAGAGTTCAACTGGAACTCGTTAAAAAATAATCCCCGAGATATAGAAGAAATTAAAAACTAGTATAAATCCCCGAGTATAAAGAAAATAATAGTATAGGATTAACAAAAAAAAAAAAAATAAATATACTCTCTTATAGTGCGGCGAGGAACACCGGCGTGTCCGCACAATTATCTCCGTAATTAAAGCTCCCTATATCCCTTTCGCGCGAGAAGAAAGGGGCGAAGAAACGGAAGGCAGCCAGAACAAAAGGAGAGATGGAGAAAAAGCGGCGAGCGTATCAAAATGGATTTCGCTATAATGAATTCCACCCTCAATAGGTAATCACAGCTCGATTACCCTGTCCTCTCCTCTCGATCCCGTGATAGCGGCAAGAACGAGCGAAGGGTAGCACTGACGGTGTGTTCGGGGGCCCCGGAATAGCACTTAGGGCCCCTCTATACATATCCTCGGATGATACCCTACAAGGTAGCGAGAGCAACGGCAGCGTCGGCCGCCGCTGGTAATGTTTTAGTGCACGGAGGCGTGCTCTGGTAGTTAGGTTCGCCATCACCGGCCGTCGTGTTCTCTCTCAGCTCTGTATATATTCCGGTGTTGCTGCGTTGTTGCTGCTGCTGCTGGTGCCGAGCGCGATGCATCCGAGAGGGCAACGTGCACGCTATCATTAGGAGAGGCAAGAACGAGAGGACGGCAGAAGGATGGATAAGATGAACGTTCCTCTTTCTCTCCCTTGCTCTTCCTCCGGTTCACTCCCTCTCTACTTTCATCCCGTTCGCCTCGAATATCTTGCTTCCTCGCTTTTGCCCACCTCCTTTCGAATCTTCGTCGGTAGCCGAATCGCGCCTCGGGCTATACGGCTCTCTTATATGTAGAGCAACCCTCTTCTCCCTCGCTTCGACTTGTTCTCCCGCGAATCGTTCTTCTTTCTTCGATCCGGTCCTCCCCCGAGGCTCCGTGAGGCTTCTTCGTCGACGTTTACACGGGCCCGATCATAACGGAATCCTCTTCCGAATAGATAACGAAATCCTTCTCGAGATTATCGGCTTTCGGAGATGGGAGATATCTCAGGATTTAATTAATATTATTTTTTTTCCGCCGCGTCGGATGCATATCTGTGTTACTCGGATCGATCTTGCATTTATTTTCTCTTCGAATTCGAACTTGATCTTTGCATTTTGTATAGTTTTTTTCTTATTTGAAATAAGAGATATAATCACTTATCAGACGTTACATAAATTGTATTTATTAATATTTTTATTATATAAAAACAAGAAATTTTCTTAAGGATTTGTATTTATCTTGTAAACTGATGTCTTTATTGTTTAAAAAGCATACAAACAATTGTTTTTATTAATTTTGTTATATAAAAATATAATAAAATATGAAGCTGTGTAAAAGTGCCGGTGTTTAAACGATAAAAACGCGTTTGTCCTAATGGTTGAACGAAGCTGTCCCAATATTTGAACATAGCAAAGTTATAATTGTAGAAATAATTTGTCTATACAGAAGTTTTTTCTTGTTCTTTCTTTCGGCATTATCTTCGAAATTATCTAAAATATAACAAGAAATGAAAAATAAAACGAATGTTCACATACAATTTTTGGTTAACAAAAATTATCTGTCATAATATTTTCCTCGTTCATTATGATATAAATATATATTAAGTTTTTTTAATTCTTTAAATTTTATTACTAAATTAATTGTAGATTTTTTAAAAATATCAAAATACTTACATTTTTAATGAAATTGAAACGAAAAAATTATGATTCAAACGAAAAAAACAATGAATAAACAAGCAGTCGATAACTAGGCAATATTGAATTTTTGAGTACCAGTAAATAAACACTAAATTTATCATATTTAAATGAAATTATTTAATAAAATAAAAATTTTAATTTAATAGTAACTTCTTTTACGAATCAAAATAACTTTTACTTGTTATAATAGCGTTTATATAAAAAATACACACACTTAAGTACTAAATGACGTTTCTTAACTGGATACTTAAGAAGCTATTGAAAGAATGATTAAAAGTAAGCCGTCATTTAAAAAATAATTTTTTTCTCATAAATCTTTTTTTCTTCAATCCGTTTTCTTTTTAATAAATATCTATTAAAAACGTTAATTTTAAATTTTAATATAATATTTGTAACTGTAATTAAGACGCATCATTCAACC